CCGCCTAAAAAGGTGGGGATAAATCTCTTCTTTTCCGTTCTGCGCTGTCCTGTGGTGAAAAAAAACCTCAAAAAAACGTCCGACCGAGGGTAAGGAAAGGGAAGGCCCCTCCCCTCGAGTGCGTCCCACGTGAGGCGTCTGTGGCGCGTCCCACCCCAGTTATCCCAGGCATAAACGCGGCTCCCCCCCTCTCCCACCGCCACCCGTGGGCCCACCTGTGCCGCAGGATGGACCCAGCACGCTTCACCGTTCCCATCCAACACACAGTGGTATTCATAAGGCCCCCGGAGGTACTCTCCTCAGCACAGCCCAGCGAACGCACTTTTTTTTTCCAAGTGCTAAATAGTGAATTTGAGAAAAAAATCGGTATCGTATGCCCGGACGTGCTGTTGGGGGGGGGCATCACCTCGCGAGTTTTTTCTCTTAATCCTTGTCCTCTCGGGCTATCGCCAGAGGTGGGGTGAAGGCACAGAACAAGAGGTGACAGGCATAAGGCCCGGGGGTGGGGGGAGGGGGGAACAACAACTCGAGGCGATTCGAAAATCTACGAGTACCCTCTACTACGGAGTCATTCACCCGTCGGTCATCGTCGCATCAACACTTTGTTTTTTTTTTGTTTACGTTTTTTTTTAATCCACGGGTGGACAGTTGCGACAATTATCCTGGAGAGGTGGATGGTTTCAGTGAATTGGTGATTTTGTGACAGTCTGACAATCAGTGAACGAAGTGATACCCCTTGTGAACTATGAACTATACGATTTTTTTTGGAGGCGAGGTTTTTTTATGAGTTTCTTTGAATTCTGTTGGATTGTCCGGTACTGAGGTACGAGGAATTGAAAGAAGGTTAGTTGATTACGTTCGTTCAGTGATGTTAATTATTAAGAGGAGTCGCAGAGGTGACGATGCGAGGGCCGGCGGGGTGATTAATTTAACTGCGGGGACCGATTAAGGATATCAAAGTGTCTTCTACAGTTTGGTGCAGACGACACTGTAGAATCAATCATTTTCAATCATCAAATTTGTCAATTAAATTGCGTGAGAAAAATTTGAAATAAATCAGGAATATTCACCGTCATTCAAATTACATTTTGCACAGAATTATGATTTTTTTAAACATTCAGTGCTTATAAATAAATAATTGAAATTGTTTAAACTTTCGGAAATTTTATTGTTTTGGGCGTGAAATCGATTTCTGGTTAAATTCTGAATATGACCAAATTTGTGACGATTCTGGACAAATGATTTTTATGGTGGAAAATTGATTGCTTATAAATTGTTTATATAAAATGCTCGGAATTTTCAAAAATTGCAACTGTTTAATTATTGCATCAATCTTCTTACAAAAGTGAACTTTCTATTTTTTTCAGATTTTTAAAATGTTTAAATAGTAATAAAATAATAAAATCATTGTAAAATGCCCGAAAATTTATAGGGTCAAATGGGATTTTAATGGAAGCTCTGATGCGCGGCTATGAAAGTAGAAGAGCTTTTCACTGGAGAAAAAATAGCTAAAGTACTTGGATATCCTTAAGGGAGTCCGAGGGGCAGTTGCTGTCGGAGGGAGAAAAGCCCTCCTTTTGCCCCCTTTTTAAGACTTTTTTGGAGAATCGTGTTAGAAGGGAAGACAAGTGTCTTAATTTAAGACGGAGAAAATCAATTCACCTTCGATATTGGATGGTCTTAATTTATGATTGTTTACGGTTTTTAGGACTCCGTAATCCGCCGACGGTACGGATTACGGAGTCGTGAGTGCTGTTGGGAAATTTTCGGCTTTTAAGACGAGTTCAGGGTCTGAAATCGGAGAATTCGCCGGGTTTTCAGTTAATGCAGTGCTACAAAATTTCGGGAGAGCGTCTTAATTAAGACGTCTTAAAATTGGGGATTAATCAGCTGAGGGATGATTTTTTTTTGTTTTACTACAGAACGTGGGCTGAGATTGTTATGATTACAGAGAATGAGGGTGGCTCCGCAATCATGAATGTCTTAAAAATGTCTTAATTTGATTCGATGATTTTGCAATGATTTAAGACAGCAAAAAATATTTCACACGGCTAAAATCTTGATTTTTAAATAAAAAATTACAAATTTCACGGAAAGAAATCATTTTATGCCTGATGTATTAAAATAAGACACTTCCGGCTTCGTTTTTAAGACATTCGTGTACCGAAACATGTTGCAGAGTGGAAACATTTTCTACATTCCCGCTGGAAATAATTGTTGAATTCTGAAAAAAATCATGAACTCGTCTTAATTAAGCCGTCTTAAAAATGTCTTAATTTAAGCTACAATACTCCGGAATGATTCAGAAACAAAAAAATATCCCCCTATCAAATGTCTTGTTTTGGGAAATAATTCTTTTTTAAGCCTCAAGTCTTAAATTAAGACACTTTAAGACACCAATTTTCGAAGTGCAATATAAGCACTAAGATCTCAAATTAACGAACTTATTAAGTCTTAACATATTAATGTACCCGAATTTAAGACACTTGAGTGTCTTAAATCGCCGAGCTTAAATTTTAAGACCTCCAAAGATATTTTCACCCGTGAAAAATATTGTATTCAAGACCCTACAAGACATGTTCACTAAATTCTGAATACATTAATATACCCAAATTTAAGACATTGCACTGTCTTAAATCCACGGTCTTAAATCTTAAGACATCCAGGAATATCGTCACAATTTCAAAACGTTTTCACCCTTTAAAAATGCCGTATTTAAGACCCTTTGAAACATTCATCCTCACCCCCTCCCCCCAATATCTCAAATTAAGCCCCCTTTAAGCCCCAACATCTCACACCGACGAGATAATAATCCCCCGATTTTTTCCCAAACAAGACGCAGCCCGAGCATCTCCAATAAATCCCTCCGCGATCACGCGATTCTGGATTGCAAATAGAATCAAATATCGAGTGAAAGGTATAATGGAATATATACCGTAACGAAATGCAGCCGACGTAGGAAATGAACAATGAGAACAATAAACAAAATGTCAACATAACACGGTAATATCGCAATAATACCCGTGTGTACCGATGTATCGTTGTATTTGTTGAGGGGAAGAGGTGGTCGATTACTAGTGCGTCACGAAACGTCGAAAAATTTCGTCAGAACGGAAACTGCCATCTGACCAACGTAACCAGATCGTGACGATGACCGCACGGGGAAGAACCCACTTGGGATAGATGTAATTAACAATGCGGCCGATTGTTCCGGGGGAACGTTACGCTGATGGGTAATTAAGTGATATGGGATGATCAACAAGGCGAGAATTATCAGGGACCATTATCGGAGGAGATAATTTTCAGCGACTGTAGAATGAAAATAAATTACCCGATACTAGGAAAATTATCGATGACATTGAAAGAATTCGATAAGTTAAGTTTTCTCCTTACTGCTAGATAAGAATTGATATTTTAGAGACGTTCAAGGGAAATCATGGGATTTTTTATTTCATCGGCAATTGAATGAACCTGAAAAATTTTAAGGATATCCGAGTAGTTCAGGCCATTTTTCCTGGCGAAAATACCCTTCAGAGGTTATAGAATAGGCCAAGAGGATTTTTTAGGCGCAATATCAACCTCAGTTTCCGAACATTTTTTCGAGAAAAGGATTTTTGAAAAAATGAAATGTAACACATTGCGTTCGTAAGAGCTGTGTACTCCCACTTTCAATCCAATAGTTCATAGTCTTAAAGCGTTTTCTCGTACACATAACCGTATACGACTTTGTTAATCAAATTAAAAGCTTCTTGATTGGTACGACGGCCATATTGGGTGGTTTGAATCCGCGCGTTCCTGACGTCTGGCAACGGTCCGCTCAAGTGACTACTCGAACCGAATTTACGAGGTTATATGGAACACATGTGCAGTGTTGCCACATGATCATTAAAGGTTAGACCGACAGTCGAGTGTGAAATTGAATAAAATATTGGCCACAATATTCATTGAAGAAATTCCCGAAAAAATGCATTCAAAGATGAAGAATCGGAAAAAGTATGGGAATGGCAAAATTTTCGGCAGAACTGAAATCTTGCTTGAGAAAAGGTTGCCCGCTTCAACGAAGGACTTGAAAATCCTTACGCAATGTTAAGATGAGAATTCCTAGTTGAATTTTTGAAAAATCAAAAATTATTTACCGGAATTCTTCTACTTCTTTTATTAATTTTTAGGGAATAATTCAACCGAAATTTATAGTTCTCATTGATTTTTCCATAAAATTTGGAATTTTCAGTGGCGAAATTTCCTAAAATTTCAGTGGAACTAAAGTGTGATGGAAATTTTTAAAAAGTGTACCGGAAATTTCAAACGAAAATGTTTAAGTGCATTCTTTATCTAGTAGTGTGGATGATATTGAAGAAATCAATTTTGTAGAACAGAAAAGTTCATTCCCTGGGGCAAATTGGGATGGGTTCTTTTAAATGATATTGATGGGTATTTAATGGCCCCATAATAGATATTTCTATTTTGGTAAGAAATTTGTCAGTCAGAGGAAAATAATGGAAAAATCATTGAACTCGACAAAAGACATTATGAGACGATTTTTTCTACCGATTTCGACTCAGTAGTTTCGAAACGACTGGAAATATTATTTTTTTAGAGAAAATGATTTTTTTCCCTGGGGCAAAATGGGTTGGGTTCTATAGAATGACACTTCTCCCGGTCTTTAATGACCCCTAATTCTGGTGACAAGTCTTCAAGGCGGAGGAGTATAATAAAAAAAATGCTGGAACTTCAAAAAAGAATTTATAAGATAATTGCGGTAATGGATTTTTTTGTAGAGTTGACTACGAGGGTCTTGCTGTCCCCGGGGAATTGTCCTGCATCTCTTAAAAAAATGGTCAAAAAATCGGAGAAAAAAGTGACCTGAACCCTAAACGAAATGAGTCCTGGCCATAAAAACGAATTACGGTTGAGTTTTGTAGAAAAAAAGAATAGACTATTTTTTTCAGTTTTTCTCCGGCAGTTTTGAAGATATCGGAAAAATTATTTTTTTACAGAAAATAATATCTTTCCGGGGGCAGGATGGGTTAGATTTTATTGAATGACACTTCTCCCGGTCTTTAATGACCCCTAATTTTGGTGACAAGTTTCCAAGGCAGAAAAGTATAATAAAAAAATGCTTGAACTTCAAAAAAGAATTTATAAGATAATTGCGGTAATGGATTTTTTGTAGAGTTGACTACGAGGGTCTTGCTGTCCCCGGGGAATTGTCCTGCATCTCTTAAAAAAATGGTCAAAAAATCGGAGAAAAAAGTGACCTGAACCCTAAACGAAATGAGTCCTGGCCATAAAAACGAATTACGGTTGAGTTTGTAGAAAAATTGAATAGACGATTTTTTCCACTCTCGAAAAAGTCCGACAAAAATTCAGGTCCCATTGTAAAACCGCCCCCACCTCTGGTATTTCTCGGGGTGCGAGCGCGACGAGAAATTCCCGCCGGTTGGGGTGCAATATATCGTCTATTTTTTTTAGGTTTAAAAATGGCACGTGGGTTCACTAGAGAATTTTCACTTTTACAACCTGAGGTAATAATGTGCGCAGGAGAAAAAAAAATTAGCGTCTTGTTGGGAAAAATGCCCATTTTTTTACGATTATTGCGATTCACTGTTTAGGCAGGACAAAATATTTCGTTGAGTGTAAATATTTTTAAGACCGGTTAAGACACGATTTTTTTAAACTTATGATTCTGTTGTAAAATAGAATGAGAAAGAGTGATTATTCTCAAGAAAGATATGCCTTAACCTGAGTTTTTTTGTCGTGCTTCGAGAAATTACTTTTTTTAAGCCCAACGCCTGTGAAATTAAGACGTTGGAAACGTCTAAAAAATATATATAATATTAAAA